GAAAACACCCTGTCACCGGTCCAGGAGCTTTTACAGTATGTCTGCCAATTAGAGGGGTGCCTGACCTGAGGCACAAGAGCAGACCTACAACCAGGGAGCCCAGATTTGCACCTTCAAGCTTGGCAACTGGGTACTCCTCCTACTCCCCTTGGAGGAGTCAAAACTCCTGGCCTGCTGGCAAGGCCCCTATGAGGTAATTCGCTGAATGGGCCCAATTATATATGAGCTTAGACAACTGGACTGACAGAAGAAAAGACAGATCTATCAGGTGAACTTCCTGAGCCATGGTGAGAGCAAGAGGGGCTGCTGATTACCCCATTCCCCCCCCCGAATTGGATCTGGGTTCGCAGGTCCCCAAGACAACTGATCCTGAAAAAACACAATTAGGGGGACACCCTCACAATGGAGCAGCAAAAACAAGCCTGGAGCCTGTGAAAGGCCTTTCCCAAGCCCTTTACTGCCATACCAGGCCAAACCACCCTCGTCCGACACACTGTCCTGACAAACCCAGGAGAGGTGGTCCGGGAAACCACGCGGCCTCTCCTATGATGGATGCGGGAGGTTGTGGAGAAGGAGGTACAGGCAATGGTACAGCTAGAGGTCATTTCACGGTTTGAGCGAGTGGCACAGTCCCATCATGCTGGTCCTGAAGCCCAGTGGGACCCTCTGATTCTGCATCGACTTCCAGAGGGTGAATGAGATCTCAAAGTTCAATGCCTACCCGATGCCCTGAATCAATGAACTCCTCAACTGGCTCAGTGAGGCCCAGTACATCGCAACTCTTCATCTCACAAAGGGCTCCTGGCAGATTCCCCTTGCTCCAGAGAGAAGAATGTGTTTGCCACCCCAACTGTGCTCTATCATTTCACCCAGATGCCTTTCAGCCTTCATGGAGCCCCCATGATGTTCCAGCAGCTGATGGACTGCCTCCTGAAGCCCCATACCAAGTATGCTGTGGCCTATTTAGATGATGTAGTGGTGTACAGCCACCACTGGGAAAACCATCTGAAACAAGTGGCAGCCGCTTTTCGGGTCCTGCGAGCTGCTGGGCTAACTGCAAAACCTGAAGAAGTACTGGATTGGGTGGTGAGGCGAGATCAAGTACACCCTCTCATGGGGAAGGTCCAAGCATTGAAGGCCTGCTTGGCTCCAACCACAAAGAAACAGGTGAAGCAGTTCTTAGGGCTAGCTGGATATTATCAACAGTTCGTTCTCAATTTGCCTCGATCGCAGCCCCCAAGACCGAGCTTCTGACCAAGGACAGCCCACGATGGGTGTGGTGGTCTGTCAAGTGCAAGGATGCCTTCCAGACCCTCAAAGACCACCTATGCCAAGAGTCAGTGCTCTTTAGCTCCGACTTCAACTGCAAATTCATCGTCCAGACGGATGCTTCCGAGGTGGGACTCAGGGCCATCCTCTCCCAGGAGGTGAGAGAGAAACTACTTTGTCATTGAAAAGGAAGCCCTCGCCATCAAGTGGTACTGTTTCCTAAGTGGCCCCTTTGTGCTGAAAATGGACCATACCCCCTTGAGTTGGCTGACCACTATGAGGGGCACCAACACCAGACTGATGCACTCGTACCTCACCCTCCAGCCACACGCTTTCACTGAGTGGGTAAGAACAATGCGAATGTGGCCTTTCTGTCACACTTGGGGGGGAAAGCGAGGATGCCAGCCCCGGGGACTGACAGCTGGATTTTGGGAGGGGAGGGTGTAGTGAGGCAGCGTGGCCTCCCTCCGAGCCTGCGGGAAAGGGACCATTTTCTGGCCCCTGGTGGGCAGAGCCATGCCGGGTCCCGCCCTCACACCGGCAACAGAGAGGTGGAACAGGAAGTATAAGAGGTGGGGTCTCCAACTCAGTTGGGCAAGAACCAGGGGAAAAAACATACCTCTCTGCCTTGCTGCTGGCCCCCTGGAGCAGGGACCGAGTTTCAACAACCCCCAGCCGTGGAGCAGCTGCCATGACTGCTGTCCAATGAGTTTCCTGCTATTGTGCTGCCCTGCCCAGAGGGCTGAGCCTGACTGCATTTGTTATCTGCCCTAGCCAGGAGGCCAGGCTAAATCCTGCTCCTTGCTCCATCCCTGCCCAGAGGGCCAGAGCAATGGACTGTATGTGCTTTCCGTCCTAGCCAGGAGACTAGGATAAAGACTGATTGTTGCTAGACCCTGCCCAAGGGACTAGGGCTATAGATTGGTGATTTGCTAATCCTCTGCTAATTGACTTTTGACCGCTGTGCCGGATGAGGCAGAGTGGCGTCCATCTGAGCCTGAGGGACCGAGGGACGACCGCCAATCCACTACACTTTACAATTCCAGAGGAGTCAAGAGAGTTGTATTGGTGTAACTGAGGGAACTCCCCCAATTACTTTAAGGTCACCATAAAATCCTGCAATGCTACCAACATTATGCAAACATGCTAATAAAATATGTCTGAACTGAGTAGATAAAAGATTGGGGTTTGGGGGGGTTTCTCATTTTACTACATTCCCTGTGTCTAGATTTTCAGATAAATTTAGCAAAAGAAAATATGGAATACCTCCTTTGCATTTCTGAAAAGATGAAAGTAGAGAACGTAACATCTCAATGGTTATACTGAATGGGTAAGGGCATACATCTGTTCCCACTGTGATATGAAAACTGATTCCTTAAAGGGACACTGTCACAAATAACACTCAGAACTTGACATTTCTTTTTGTCCCCTTATAACAGATCTATTTTACATACATCAATTTGATTTTAGAACAATTATTTCCTCCACTGCCAATCAAATATATTAAAGCTCTATTTCTAAAAGCAAGGGGTGAAAACTGCTAGCACTTCAGCAGCACTCATTAGTTACCCTACAATAACATCCCACAAGCCAGGGAGTGCAGGAAGGCAAGAGGAAAATCATTTTTGGTATGAAAACAGATTTGAGTTTCAAGCCTCTAAGGAATTATTAAAACCCTAATGAATGTTTTTAATTAACTTTCACAGCATCCTTTAAAGTGAAATCATTTAGCAGTTGCAGTGGAAACCTGTTAAACAAATTACTAGTTGAACAAAACAGCTATACTTGTTAATAGGGCTTTTACTCCAACAGACTTCATACTGCCCAGTTGGGGTGTTTGGAGACTGCCATTGCAAGAAGTTACAAGGATTAAGATTTTTTTTTAAGGGAAATATGTGCCAAATTTTTTGCTGGTGTAAATTAGTGACGGCAATAGAAAGGCACCAATTTACATCAGCGGATAAATTTGGTCCTACACTTTGAGTTGGTAAAGAAAAGATGTAATTTGAAAATGTGAATAGATATATTACATTGACAGATCTATGTTCTAGTGTATTTTAGCTTCTGACACACTAAATATTTGGTCTGGTTAGATTAAAAAAAGACACACCACGATTTCATTCTTTTTTCTGGTACCCTGTACCATGGATCAAACAGTCAGGGTTGTGTTTAAGCACAGGGAATCTTATAACTGAATCTTATAACAGACTTATTCCTCTAGCTCAGCTACAACTAATCTTCTGCTCCTGCAAAATCTCTCACAATTAGTAGAATTCTGCAAGACTAGCAGTCTCTGTTCAGTACTCAGAGTGAACTACTTCTCACCCCAGGAGGGAAAGAGAGGTCACCTCTGGAGCAGGGCTAAGGTTATTACTGGCAGGGCAGCTAAAACACAGTGCTTTCTTTTTACAGCCTATAGATTGTAGATATATTGAAGACTTCTGAAAAAACAGCAACCATGCAGCATATTCATATCTCCTATCTATCCCTGACTAAGAGGGATGTCTCTCTTGCATTAGAACAAGACTTGCCTTTGTTGCATACAGAACTGATGTTATCCTAGATGGGTTTTTTATATATATACAGTAATTTATAAACATCATGTATATTAATAAAACTAAGGTTCCGGAAAAGCTTTTTGTTTAAGTAAAGACATTTTTTCATATCATTTTAATCTTTCTTTCCAATTACAACCTTCCGACAGGTGCACATGCTTAGCTGATTTAAAATCAGTAGATTAGGGCTGAAAGAATGAAAGTGGACTTTCCAGGACTAAAACTGAATCTGGAATGGATGTAACAGAACACTGCCATCTCCAGTTTACAGTTCTTGTACAGTATATATAGTGTATATTATACACCCACAAGACTTGAGAGACGGAGAAGATGCAGAATAAATGGAAAACACAAGTGAGCTCTGGTGATAGACACAGAGTTTGAAGGGAAGTGAATGCTTGTGAAGACCTACAGACATATTTCTGTCTTTGATCACAGTTTGATAATTTTTTTATCTTCGTATAAATTCCCACAGAAAAGAAAAAATTGTGTTAACACAAAGTTAAGTTGACATGGTGAAATTCTCACAGTCATGTAATAGTCAATTAAGAGTTTCACTGCTAAGTCTATGCTTCCTCACGTAATCCAATTCACCCTTTATATACACTCAAGAGAAACCCATTGCCTCTACCCCTTGACCCCATTGCCATACTAAACTTCACTACTTTTTGCATACAGGCATGACAAAGATATTTTGGGAAATAATATAAATCTCCTCCCAACCTACCCTGATGTATCAGGGGTGTGAGCAGGGGTAGGGTCTCAAGGTCAGAGCAAGTGGGTTTGTGGCCTGTATGGAAAATATAGCTGGTTCTCCTGCCTACACTGGAAGACTGCTGTAGTGAGGCTCTTTTGCCCACACACAGAGGGAGGTATTGGCCATATATATATCAAGCTGTTATTTAGAACATGAGAGGGGTTCTTCTGCCCATGTGTAGAGAGGACAAGAGATGGAGAGAAGAGTTAAGGCTGGTGTGGTAATGGGTGAGAATGAGGAGTGTGGTTTGTCCTTATGTGCATGAGGACATGAGAGGATGTTTAGCACAACACACGGAGGAGGGGTGGGTTGGGTAGGCATTAAAGGTTCTGCATTTAAATTCACAATGTTGAATTTAATAGTGAACAATAAATTAGACATGAGCTTGCAAAATCAGACTGCATAAACAAATACATCACCTGTCAGAGCAATGAGGCAACAGTCACTCTCTATGCAGCTCTGGTGCAAATGTTGTCTTGTGTTCTGGGCATGATGTTTCCAGAAAGACATTGAGAAATTGGATGGAGCTCAGAGAAAAACAAAAATGATTTGGGATGGTGAGAATGACTTATGAGGAAAGCTTAAAAAAGACAAATATGTACAGCTTGGTTAAATGATGACTAAGGCTGAAGGAGAGGAAACAGTCTACAAATAGTTGAAGGGTGTAAACACAAAAGAGGGAGAGACATTATTTAGTGTGGTACATTGGAGTAGAAGTAAGAATAATAGGATGAAATTAAGGAAAGGGAAAATTACACTGAATAACAGGATAAATTTCTTGCAGTGATACGTATTAGTGTGGAATAGTTTCCCAAGGAAAATGATCAAAGCCCCAATCTTGGGTCTTATAATATTAGGATTCTAATTTTAAAAGTTTGTTGAATGTGATAATCCCTTTTAAAATTTCAGTGCTAAAAAATAAAGCTGTTACAGTCATTTAGGCTTGAAATTAGACGAAGGTTTCTAACCGTCAGAGGGTGAAATTCTGGAACAGCCTTCCGAGGGAAACGGTGGGGGTGAAAGACCTCTCTGGCTTCAAGATTAGGCTAGATAAGTTTATGGAGGGAATGGTTTGATGGGATAACGTGATTTTAGTCAATTAGGCAATAACGTGCCATCGCTGGTAAAATGTGGGTCCGGCTGGAGAATCTTGCCTGTATGCTCGGGGTTCTACTGATCACCATATTTGGGGTCGGGAAGGAATTTTCCTCCAGGGTAGATTGGCAGAGGCCCTGGAGGTTTTTTGCCTTCCTCCGCAGCATAGGGCAGGGGTCACAAGCTGGAGGATTCTCTGCGACTTGAAGTCTTTAAATCACGATCTGGAGACTTCAACAGCTGAGATAAGGGAAATTGGGTGGGTCAGCTTTTGTGGCCTGCATCATGCGGGAGGTCAGACTAGATGACCATAATGGTCCCTTCTGACCTTAAAGTCTATGAGTCTATGAGTCTATTTAAAAACCTATCACTGACTGCATATATTATAATGGGTGTCAGAGGGGAAGGCAGGTTAGGACCAACAGCAGTGTGCTACTGGGGCACATCTTTCCCTGTTATTCTGAAGAAGCAGGGCCTAGAATTCCAATGGGTGCTTCAATGCTATCTCTCAATATTATGCTTTCATAATGTGTGAGTGGTCACAGTAGCCAACACTTGTAAATGGGGGTAGACAGACAGAGTCTCAGGTCAGGCCCTATGAGGAAGCCTGCCTGGTTGGGGACAGTTGCAAAAATTGCAAAGGGAGGGTGGAGTGGATGAGATATACTTGTAATATTGCACCCAAACAGGCTTAGAGTTGTACTATCTAGATTGTGACCCTTCCTGGTTGTCCTGTTTGCCCATCTGGACTCTCCTGAATATCAGCACACTGTAAAAGATGGACAATTAAAGTTGCTGAGGGAAACCAGGATGGGGCTGCTGGTAAGTGTGGCCCAGCTTGTGGAACTTGCCAAATCACCACTCTTGGCCAAGTTGGTTGACACTAGCAGGGAAAAGAATATAAGCAAGAAGAAGTCTGAAAGGTTCCATCGTATCCAAAGGGGTAAAAATGAAGGGTGGATTTGATAAGCTTATTTTATACTGGTTTATAAAATGAACCCAATCTTAAAAGCCTCAGGATGCACATGCAGTATTTAACCCAATCCTCTCTCCCTTTGACAAAAGTGTGAGGAAATAGATTGGCCTTGTACCATGCCCTAAGATCAAACTCTGGCTCTGTGAACCAGAGAAGCAAACATTCCAGAGTCAAGGGCCCTCCTCCAAAACCCATAGAAGTTGAGACAAAGGCAGAATGTAGAATCTGGGGACTGTTTACTTCAGCTCTAAACTGCTGGAGCAGTATATCTGAAGAAGGCAGACATTCTGAGCAGGGCTGGCTCTAGGGTTTTTGCCACCCCAAGCAGCAAAAAGAAAAAGAAAAGAAAAAAAAAAAAGAAAAAAAGCCGTGATCGCGATCTGCTCTACCGCTGCCGCTTCAGTCTTCGGCGGCAATTCGGCGGCTGCTCCTTCGCTCCAAGAGGGAGCGAGGGACCCGCCGCGGAAGACCCGGACCTGCCGCCCCTCTCGGTTGGCTGCCCCAAGCACCTGCTTGCTGGGCTGGTGCCTAGAGCCGGCCCTGATTCTGAAACTCATGACCCAAGATACATAGGGCCGTACAGTACAGAATTGCAATCAGAAGAGGTCTACAGTGCGTGAGTGCTTTTGAATTCCTGCTACTAAAGTCTTAAGTGGTGTCAGAAGCCAAAAGCACTTTCCCCCCTTTCTGTACATAAGTAAGACACTTGGGATAGATCTCTGGCTCTAGACTTTGCCATGGTTATTCATTCCACGGTAATCTTTAGACTGGTTTCTGCAATACACTGTGCATGGGGATAACCTTGAAGACTACATGGACGCTTCAGCTGCTGTAGCACAAGGATTCTTATTAATTTGGCTGTATTAGTCCATTTAGGTGGTATTATGTTACACTAGACTAGAACTTCATTGAAGGCACTGGCTCTATTTACTTTTTTTCAAGCAGCCCTGCTATTTACTGGGATTCCTTATATAGAACAGGTAAAATTTACTTCTCTATAAGTGTAGACTCTCTCTACATATATTTAAGCTTTTCATAACATCCCTTATGAAGTTTCTTAGTAAGAAATTGAGTATACGAAGTACTGTATGTTATTACACCTCTATATCTTGATCTTTTGATTATATTTTTAAAGCATTGAAACAATTAAGACTTATAAGGACAATAATTGACCCCCTTCTTTTTTTAATTGAAAACTTTTTTGTTGTTGCTTAACCAAAGCACCCCCAAAACACCTGTAACCACTAATTTCTACAAACTTTGTTCCTCGATTGAATCATTTTGTGCCAAATGTCACCCAAACCCCAATAAATCTGGCAAGACCTAGAACTTTGGCAGTGCAAACAATGCTTTATTGAAGGAAGAGATTTATGATTTACAAACAGCCTTATTTAATGTTCAGGTTTTTCATTATGCAGAACTGTTGGCATTGGGAAGGCAGTCCAAAGTGTGCCCTCTACATCACATGCCAGAGTCAGAAGCTTATTTCTAATGACTGAAACAAATACCAACTGGGTGGGGAAATTTCCATGCATTCTTTCCATTAAAGATCGTAAGATGAATGTTTGACCCTGATCCTTGCTTTTAACAGCCATCTCAGTTTCTTCTTTTTCTGGATGTGACCTAGAGTAACATGCAGCTGCATAATTTACACGCCACATTAACCCCTTGAGCACTACACCAGAAAATGCCTCTCATGCCAGTTGTTAAGCTTTTCTGCTCCAGCTTTATTTTATTTCTCTCCTATAATTTTTTCCATCCAATTTTTTCTTTAAAAGAGTATTCAGTGGTTCTGTGGTGCTCCCAGCCAATTTCATATTGTGCGTATGTGCTGACTAACACCCAGGGATGCATAAACTGTGAGTAGACTATAAAATTACCGTATAAATGATCTTTAAAGGCTTCACTTTTACAAAATAAAATAGTACAACAACAAAAAATTCCTCCCAGCAGGGGATAATCAGTAGAAACCATATTTAATTGTAACACTGTTGTAGGGAAATTGTATGGAGAAGTAAGCCTTCTTTTCAAGCATTTATAGATATGAAGAATTTAATTACCCTTTAGATTGAAACTCTTTTTTATTTTTATTTCTTCTTCCCAAAGATATTCTTTTGCAAAGTTTAGCAAAACTCCATTTGTCTAGTTTTTGATTATCCCAGCATGAAGGGGTAAAAAAGGTATTTTTCCAACTCAAATTTTTCAAATTGTTCTGTGCAGAGAATTATATAATCATACAAACTAAGATAAGAAAGATTTATAATATCTTGTTTATCCCCTCACCTGTGATGGATTGCACCCTACTATATATATTCTAATACCTTTGCCAGATTTATTTTCAAAGACTCAGAAATGGGGATTCTTCTACCCTTCCGTAGGCAAATTATTCTAGTCTAATAGACCTAATAATTCCCAAAAATATGCCGTGTAAACATCCACCTTGCTTCACAGAGGAAAAGTGCTTTTGACATGTTAAAAAAATATATATTTAATTTTCAGCTATTATGCAGGTGCAGTATGTGATTTTTCCACTCAATATTTTTAATACAGTAAGATGAAGACATTCTAATACAGTGTGTATATCTGGACCACCACACTCTGAAATAAACAAGTGTTTATTTTAAAATGCATGTTGTGTATATAAATATCTATATCTCAGTTATATATTATACTCATATACATACCATATAGGTCAGTGGTTAGGGCACTAGATCAGAATCAGGAAACCAAGGTTTTGTTTCCAGTTCTGCCACTGATCTGCTCCTTGACCTAGGGATAGTTACTTTGCACTTTCACTGCCTGTGTTTTCCCAGTTACAAAAATGAGATTGAAATAATTACCTGGCTCTGTAAAGTGCTTTGAAATCTACAAATTAAGATTGCTATTTATTATTATATAAAATTGTGTAAAATCTTTTAACAAGAGCAACTTCAATGAAAATAAACTACAGTATTGTTATGTTTGAGAATTTGAACAGAGCAACCAAAATATGTAAAGGCATGACTCCCACGGAAATTATAAAGTAGGTAATATTGTATGTATATACAGTTAGGGCATAGATGTAACATATACATGCAATGTGTCTGAGTTACAAATATTGTGGAAATCATGGCTTTACATGCCCTGACATTTGGGAGTTCAAATTCTCAGCCATAACACCATACTACAGTTGTTATTTTCATTTAATATTAGTAAAACTTCATTAGAGATAATGCATTGTTTGCATTTTATCCAATCACTTCTGATACTTTGCTTTATTGATCAATGTGGTTTCTTTTCATTTTATCTTGACACTATAACAGCATATACATAGAACTGCAATGACTTTGCTTCATTTTGACATTGTAATATTCTCTGTGTACACTTGCATTTACATCATCTTGAGACCTTTGGAATGACAATAAGTCTCATTAAAGCAAGCAGTGAAATAGGATATCACAAAAACATCACAAAAAG